TTGTTGCCGATTCCACCGTCGCATATATATGCAACAAGCAACAACACTCATAAATTATTAAGGTTGTCCCAATCCGAGTATGGAACGGCGATCCAGTTCCAAGGCTCGGAGTATATCCTATTTATTCTTCTTCCGCGCCAGAATATGTTTTTCGGCTGCATAGCTTCACATCTGTCCGTGAAAACAAGACCTGTTGAGGGAATACTTGTTGTCCTAGAGTGCGGCTGCGCAATGTATAACAAAATGGCCGTTTAGGGATCGATCAGTTTCTGACAACAATGTTGACTGTTTAAAAAGGCTGCATCATCGGTGAGTAAAAAGTCTGCATGAATAATCTACGTGGAAAGCGGGGTCGAACCTAGTTGAATGAAGCACGTATCAGCTTGATAAGCTTCTCATGGAGGACTTTGTAATTAATTGAAGTCCTGCGATGATGTCCATATAAGCATTAAAGTATTCAGAAACAGAAATGCGTTGTTTATTACCTATCATCAGGCCGTGCAGTAATATATGTCACCCTAGAGTAACGAACAGTAGCGATGGGGAGAGTTTTCAGTGCGTCAAGACATGTATGAACGAGCGGTGAATTAAAGTCACGTTCTCTCAGGGAGCAGGGTGAGAGGGAGGATGAACCAGTGAGCTGTGTTTGCTTTTCGTTGCGGTAACGCAATGACAAGTAATCTAAAAACGATACGTTTGCCGACTTTGATTTTTATTTGATGTACCCGGATTGTTATAACGAGTCCCAATCAAATTTTGAAACGAGACATCTACTTATTTTAACGCAAATTTTCACGAAACGAACCTTCTTGACATTAATGCACCACGCGCTAGTCTTTTAAAATAAGGCTCTACATCTGGATGTGAACAAAACGCTTCAGTGTAATGGTGACCCGAACGAGCGTTCAAAGTAGATGTCGGACCTCCAAACTGGAGGAGGCGCGTACACCATTTCCATTCATTAATTTTCCGAGATTTGGTTTTCTCTAGCTAATTTTGCGACCATCAGCGCTTATTTGAGCCCCACATTGTCTTTTATTTTTAGTCCTCAGGCCAAACGAGAGAGTTCACTGAGCGCCGAGGTATCAGTGACTGACGTGGAGGCCTGCATGGACCGTCTGGGCGAGGAGATTTTCTGGCTGAAAGAGAACGGTCTTTTGATTCCGCTGAACAATACTCAAGCTCACTATGCAACACAACGGGACTCAGAATTTTGGTGCGGTGCGGAGTTCAGCAAACAGTCTCCCGCAGCACATTTGGCGGCCCCACGGCTCTGCTCCAGTTGGGTACGCAAGAAATCTCAAGAGCTGTCAGTAAGTTCTCCGACGCGGTCATGAGAAGTAATGTCTTTTGTTAAGTCGTAGGAGAAGTATGTACGACGACTAGTTCGGACATATCCCTACTAGTTGGCGTTTGAACTTTATGGTGACTGGATTCTATTTCTCAGCAAATTCTCCTAATGCATCTCATAGTGACAGTCTAGTCGGTTAATTGTGATCCATCCATAGGCTAGAATTAAGAACCGTAATCCCCATGGTTAGAGTAGGAAAAGAGGGGGTTAAGTAGGACAAATACGTCATTTCAGCCTGTCTCTCCCTTTTCGTTTATATCAGCTGCGCTCGTAAAAAACCTTCAGTCGTAACCTAGACCAGAGAGGGGCAAGTCCGCGTCAGAAATTCAAATTGTGGCCGGTGTCACGTAGCACGCGGAGTGTGCCTAGCACAGCTTAGTGATTTTGAACCGTTGGAAGTAATAGGGTGTCAGACTTGGGCCTTTCATTGCAACGCAAGTTACTTTTAATTTAGTCCTATGTTAAAGCAGTACGTATTTCTTAAGATGATGTAAGTTTTGAAAGAACATTCCCACACACCTAGGAATGCGGTTGGTCTGCGAATGTACTTTTTGTATGGACAATTCAATGGACTTTGGGACAAGTACAGAGGACACACATGACTAAGCAACGTTCTGCGGAAGAATATGAAAATGTCGTCGGTACTGCATATTAACCGTAAATGTAGGAGTAGGTATTCAGTACTGTCATTAAAAGAAACAATAAAAGACATAAAAAAGTGTTAACAAGGAACAGGTGCACGACAATTTTTTTGGCTTACCACAGCGAACAAGCTCCAAATTTAATGGTTAGTGACAGGCGATCACCTAGCAGGTCAAGAAAGTAACCAAACAAACAGTAAAAATTTAGATTCCCAACCAAGCCATGAAGGACTAGGATCATAAACGAGGAACGACTGACATGGCCACTTTTGGATTATTAACCTTTGTTACTCAGCCATATTCTGACCCGTGTTTCGATAACCTGGAGTTCGAACTGGATTTGTCTGTCATAGTATAGTAGGAAGGCCAACTCGTGAAATGTCAACCGAAATTCCGAAATGTGTTTTCGATCTGGCTGCATGCAAAAACCACGCTCTGTAAAAAATGACTGCTGAAGTAGGATGCATTTTTCTCATTAATTTTCGATGACCCTAAAAATTCAATCACATTTCATGGAAAACATGCATAAAATATTCATTCTTCTGCTCATTCGGTAAAAAATCCGTTTTCTACTTTTACCCTGGAAGGAAAGGTATAATTCCTTTTAAAAAATGTTCTAATTGTGAGATTTTTAAATACCGTGAAATGGCCGTTCATAAAACGTCATGTCTCTGCGTTTACCAATGCGGTCTGTAAAGTTAGCAATATGGCTCAAATCCACCGCTAAATTTTATGAACCCCATATACTCTCCTTTTAATTTCGTAGAGAGATGCATGGCTTTCGTACGCGAAAAATATACGGCATGTAGTTTGGGAACCCTGAATGCAAGTGTAACGGCTGGTCGCGATTCAAAATTATTCGGGAATTGGAAAGGTTTGTTTAAACTGAATGATACACTCCTTCGAGTAAAAAATTGGAGGGAGACGTAATGTTCTGCCGAATGAGCGACAGAATGAACATTTTTACGCATGTTTTCCATGAAGTATAATTCAGTTTTCAAGGGCACCGAAAATCAATTAAAAAAATGTATGCTAATTAAGTAGTCGTTCTGGCAGAGTATGGGTTTTGAATGCATCAGGAAAGAGGTTCTTTCGAAAGCAGGAATCCTGAGGTAACTGAATTATTTTAGAATTATGCGACAAGATGATTAGTTTTACAACAATATTTAATTAATCTTTTTGAAACTCATTTCCTAATTTCGGCCGACATTTCATGAGTTAGCCCACCTACCCAACGTTATGTCCAAAAGTCTACCCTTGAGGTAGACGACGGTTAATATGCCAGAAATGCTCTTTCCTGCCTTCCTTACCCCTAGCGATGTTATTTTCCTGCGTCAATACTGGTTGCTATGCCTGAGAGCGCTCAAAATTGAGCCCCAAGACGCAACGGAAGAAGCGTTCTTACCACGATGTTTATATGCCTGTTCTTTGTATTTATCAAGCGCATTTTACTGGCAATATTAACTTTCATAATAACATACTTGGAACTACAAAACGGCGTGAAGGGACTGAGAAGATGAGAGGGTAATTTCGGGCGTCGTCTCCAGAATTGGTCCTCTTCTTGTTTTTCCTAGAGAAAATGTCAGGAGTGTTGCATTTGCTGTTAAAATGTGCATTTGGAATGCAGACCGACTGTCTCGTCGAATCCCCAGGCGCGGCGGCTCATGCGGATGGGGTTTCGGGGTGGCGATTAATCTCCATAGGGCTGACGAGACGTTAATTCTCGGCCTCGCGAAGGAATCTGTCTCTCCTCCCCTCCCCTGTTTGTTTATGCGCTGATCTCTGTTTCAGGACAGACCGAAACCTGGGGAAGGGTGACAGACGACTTACTAGTGCGCTGAATCTTGAGGCTCTCTTACAGGATGGGCGCACACGGCTTAGGGCCAGGATTACGGTGCACTTGCATGGAGCGAGCAGTCATTCGAGGCCCCTGTATGCCCCAGCCACATATGACCTGTTAATTCCGCCGGGGTTTCAGTTTTCTCATCCAACGGGCCCGTGGCTCAATGGTAGAGTGTCAAATTCCATGATCGAAGATCCCGGGTTCGAATCTTAAGCGATCGACACTTGCCGTTGGGTAGGGCTGGCTGATGATGGCATATAAGAAAAAGGCAAAGGTGGCGAAACGTGCGGGATCTAAAGAGGCACAGAATTTCAAACCTCTTATTCAACTGCCCACACTCATTGCGCATTTATCAGATAAGGTAAACTGTTCAATCAGAGATCGACCTAGAGGGATGAAACGTGATAGGTAAATAAAACAGATTGTTGGTCTGATACGTGCGTGCACATGGCGAGGGGGAAGGGGGAGGGAAGATAGATAGATATGCGAGTTCACATTGCAGTGAAAACCTGTCAGACGTGATTACAATTCAACACGCGGAACAGCAGTCAGTCATTTGGGGGGAATGAGAGGAGGGGTGTAGGAATGGGGTCATGGTCATTATCGATTCTTACCATGGCAGTGCCAGCTTTATCACGTGATCCAGCCGCTTACAGCGTTCCAGTTTACACCTCTATATTGCAACGCCTTCAGCAAAGCGCAGGAGACGCCCAATCGTCGCCCGAAGTAGGACCTTAAATGCAGTCATTGGCTCCACTGTATGGTCCATGTCCACTAGGTGCTTCGTAATTGAACTCCTGGGTTTCCGCCCTCAACAGAAACTTCAGCATGCGTTCAGCTGACCGAGTTGCCAACTACCTTTGCGTGCACCCAATGTATTTGCATCCGCAACTACATGTAAACTCATAAATACAGTTTGATTTGGCGTCCCTCGGCAGATTGTCTTTAGCCGTTGTAGTGCTTGTGAACAACAATTTAGAGAAAGGCGGCAAATAAGCCAGAAATGGCCATTCTGGTCTCCCTTGTTTTTATTGGTATTATCTCATTAACCTCGTTCAAATGTGACCGTAGCCTCTCCTCGTAACTCTACAAGTTACTTCCGAAATGAGTACGAAGCGGGGACCAACATACTGTATTAGACAAACTAAGGATCAAAGTGCTTTACCCTGTAGTTTAGGTGACATTTAATTCCAGCGATGCTAGTCATTCGTTCATAAGGAACTACTGGCGATTCAGTATAAAATCTTCCGACGAATATTTCCATTTGGTCACCTTTTCACTCGTCCGTCTGATGATGTATATTGATGGTTGTTTCCAGTGTTTCCGTAGCCAGAATCCACCTATTCGTTTTGCAAACAGGCAACGGCTGCTGACTGTGCTCCGCTTGCTTCATGGAGGCCTGGATATTAGGGAAGGCTGAAGTCAAGACTTTCATGATATTGCTAACTCATCCCACGTGACAAACCAGTTTGTCATAGTCCATAGTGGTGGTGCTCTAGTTCCATTTAGGCAGAAAATTCAAAAAACCTGCGATATCCGACCTCGAGACGGATTCTAACCGAAATCATCCCTGTTTATCACTGCCGGGTTTTACTTAAAGGTCCACATCTGCGTCAAATCTGCTTAATTCTTTCCTATTGCAGCGCTCGTCCCCCTTCTGTTCGAGTTGGGCATTTCTCGCGGCTAGATCGCAGTTGGTAGCCAGGCCCTGTATCAAAGATGGCGGGGGGTTGTTTACTAAGGCTATCTGGTGGAGTTCCACAGTCGCATCTGACCCATTTGACTTCCGTTTTACGTTTGAGGTTAGGATTAGGCTGCCGGTTAATGATTTCCGATTTTCGGGTTAGCTTTATGCCTTTAAGCTTTGGTTTCAGGGTTACAGTTGGGGTTTGAGCGTACGATTAGGTTTCAGTATTACGGTTAGGTTTTCCAGTTACGGCTATGTTTAACAGCTACGGTTCCGTTTACAGTTTCGGTTAGGGTTAGAGTTAGGGTTGCCGTTAGGGTTAACGGTTATCGTTTAAGGTTGAGGTTAGGGTTAGGGTTAAGGTTAGGATTACGGTTAAGGTCGCCGTCCGCTTCCTCATTCCTGGCTATCAACTGCGATCTAGTCGTTCTCGCATTTATCAGAGCAATATTCTGCTTATTGCACTTATGGCCTCCGTCAAGTCTCGTTTGCGAATTTCAATCATCCTCGTAAATGAGATTCGTCTTGAAACTTCAACAAATACGTGACGCGTGACAGTAAGGAGAAAATATGCAGCAAGCAGGCGTAGCTGTCCTGACTTTTCGGGTAGAGCGCCCGGTGTGATTCCCAATGGTCTGCGAACCGCCGCCGTCCCTCGTAACTTGCTTTCCGACTGCGGACGGTCTATGTTTCCCACTGTGCCATGAAAGAAATGGTTTGGATAATAAAAATCGCCGTATTTTTGATTTCTGTTTGGCCTAGAGGCATGAAACATTATAAGTAAATAAAACATAGACCGTTGGCCTGATATACGGGTGCGCATGGCGAGGGGAAAGGGGGGGCAGTTATCTGAGCAAACGAGTTTACATTAGCGTGAAAACATGTCAGGCGTGATTAAAATTTAACACGCGCGGCGGCGGTAAGTCATGCGGCGGGGGAGGGGAAGGAGGGAATAGGCGTGGGAATGGGCTTATGGTAATTATCGTTCCTTACCATGGTAGTGCGAGGTTGATCACGTGATCCAGCTGCCTACAGAGTTCCGGCGCTCAAATGACTCGCTGCAAAAATTCTACACCAAATCCTATTTTTACGTGTCGATTTGCGCACGTAATGGACACTTAACAAAAAATATAATGCTGGAGCCGCGTGTATTCAGTTAGAAGAATGTACATCACTCAATTTTCACCTTTCACGCGTCTTTCGCTCCCAAAGAAACTGGATGCTGCTTTAAAATTACACGAGAATCGGACCGCACAGCTCTGTCACATATCAGAACAGCTTAGCAGCACCTGCGAGGACCCCAGCATGCGGGACCAGTTACGGGAGGCCGCTGATGAGCTGCACATTTCCATGGAAACCGCTCGAGGTATTGTAAATCGTCGACGCACGCGTTTATCCACCTGGCAGTCAACCTGCGCCACATTTGAATCCGCCCTCCTCATGGACGCTGACGGCGAGGAAGTCAAAGGGGAGCAAACCCTGCCAGTGTGGATCGCCACCATCCGGCAGAGACTACAGCAATCTGGGCCTGATCTGACCTCTCCGGATTTCCAGAAGGAACTGGTAAGACCGCAGGTTCTACTAAAAATGATTTGATGATAGGGCCTGTGCACTCGAAGTTTTCATCCACATGCCTTAAGGAAGTCTGTGTGAACAATGTCGAAGGTTAAAGCGGCCTTCACTCCTTACGAGAATTATTTCTATACAGCTTACTAATGGCTTAATTTTTTCCAAGCGAACAAATGACGTATCAGAGCAATGTCTCTTAACTATTACAAGGGCATGAGCAATTTAAGTAGATTGTGAATTACCTCTGGCTTTTGGTTGAGGCTATGATTAGAAAAGGTGATCAGCATTTCACCATACTAACCTTACAAAGTCCATTAAATTTGCTTCATTGGATAATGGTGTGTGGGAGAAAGGCTAGCACATCACTTTTTCACTCTTTTCCCTGAATCAGGAACAGCTTATAATTCTTTCCCTCGCACTAACACCATCGATTGCTATTCCGGTGACTGTTCATCCGACTGAGGGGTCATCGTACGGATGTGCATAAAATTTCTCTGCTGCATACTGGCTTTTATTTATTGTCTACTGCCAATTATCTAGCATTTAAATGACAATTTCAGCGAACGTACTCTTTATGGCAAGACAAAAATTTTGCTGACAAATTTAGAAGACTTTAATGAGAGCAAAAACTACCACAGAAAAAGGTGGTCGAAGCACTCGGACATTTGTGAAAATCATGTTCAAAATTAAATTTTGAGGCCCTGCGGTAATTTGAATTCAAGGATATATTTTTCGCATACTGAGCCACTGTACCCTTGCATTTGAGCCTACAAACTTACCATGATTGTTCCCTCTAGCCGAATTTATGCGTCTTTTTTCATTCATTGACAGATGCATCCTACAGTGTAAAAAATATCTTAATAAGTATAGAATAACCGTTGGGATATATAAATAAAATCGGGCATCCAACTATACTGATTAAAATTATTAATCATTCGCAGGCCATAGTTAAAACCGTCTTAATACTTTTAATAGTAAAGGTGTTCTTTGCAGAGCTTCTCTCCGAGTTATATGTGCTCAGAATCGTCCGAGTACGAGACTTTGCTTAAATTCGTTTAATTAAAACTTTTATGCAGTATATTGCGGAACATCCCGATAGAAAAATATCGTTCAAATATTCAAAATCACGTCGAAAACGGCCAGACGTTTAGTCGACTGAGACATTCTCCAGCAATCGCATAAAGGAAAATGAGTGTGTTTAAGAGGTTTAAAAGACGAGAAATATGTCTCCCTCCTCGTTATGTATTTAAAAAGCACTAGAAAGGACGAACGAGCACCGTTGCCTTTTGGTAGTAAAGACAGGTTGAGCAGTTTTATCTGCTTTTAGTAACTTTCAAACTTCGTTGACTGAAGGAGCTTTCTTTGGCACGAGAATAATTTTGCACGTGAAGAGACAATACTCTTCTTGGAAGGGTTTTGCCTCGGCACATTACTTAAAGCAGAAACGAGTGCTAAAATCTCGGAAAGAGTGTTCATCAAATGCGTAGGTATCATTAGACTTTGAGTATCAAAGTAAAATACAACGTTCACCCGTAAAGTCGAGAAACACTGTTTGCACTTCCAGACAAAAAAGGTAGCTACACGAGGTTGTAATATGTATGGACACGCGAAACAATCGGACGCCTTTTTACATTGTTCCGATTTTCAATGTACTTTGCAAGTTTTTCCAAGGGAAATATCTGCAGGTTTCATTTTCCATCGATGTTTCACCAAACTTACTCTTTCAATAAGTTTATGATTTAAATGACGAAGCATTTTAATGTCAAAGTTATACGTATTTTGTAAAAGCTTTGATTTGGCATCTCAGACTGGCCTTCAAATCGCATGACAGTGATGTCCGTAAAATGAATTCCCTTAACTATCGCAAGAGTATGATATAATATCAGGAAACATGTAACCGGTTACGTAAATAGGCAGAATAATGAGTTCCATCAAATATATGTATATGTCCTATTAGCTATTGGGTTTTACGCGTATACACACATGCGCGTCCGATACTTTTGCAGATAGGTGTCATTAAAATCAACATTTTCTATTCCTTTCATTAGTTAGCTGTCCGAAGAATAAAGTTCTCGAAAGACGTGTTGAGGAACGAACTTTCATCAAACTTTTTATATAACCGGCAGGAAACTAGGTATAGCCTACTTTTTGCAATGATCTT